AGTATTATTAAACCATCGAATACCAGAAGTATAATCTTCTTCGGTTGTATATCGGCTGTGTATTTGGTGGCAAAAATTTAATATTTATGTTGCTATAGTGCTCGCATTTTTATCTCAAAATGATCAGTCGGGTAATGTTCTAAAAAACGAACCGGTTTCATCACAATTAAAAGTGTTTTCAGATAAATACCCTTCAATAATGGACCAATATGGGCATGCAGAATTCTTCGACTGTACCGAGATCAACAAATGCATTATCGCCACTAAACTTAAAGGCTGATTCGGCAAAACTCTGCAGACTTCGTTATCCTAGATTCGCAGATGTTGAAATGACTTGAGCATCATTCTGTTGATATTAAGGTAATCCACAAAGCAATAAATAATAATCTCACGGATAATTGATTGATGATTGCTTGCCAATCTTTTATAGGTGAACAGGACTGCTGACTGATGTCGTAATTCATAATATTCAGAATACGGATTACTCAAAACGTTTTTGGTTGAAGTAATAAGGAAATAAATCGGAACATGAAAAGGATGACGGATTTCACAGAATGCCGTAGAAGCCGGATGACCACAGTAGTTTAAAAATCAGACAAAATGTAAGGAAAAGAAATTTTAATGTAATTTTGATTGGATTAAAGGAATACCTTTTAAGTTACAGATCTCCCTGCCATCATCTACGTTCCATATTTTAACAGTCTGATCAAACGATGACGATACGAGACGATTCTTATTAAAAGCTTTGATCTATAATAAAAGTAGAGATATGAGAAGCCTAATCAATGTATTTTCTACAAAGTTTATTTCAAACATACAAATAGGTGCAGGAAGTTTCTTTTTTGATTCTGGAGAAGTGATAATCGAGCAGTGAGGCCTCTGGACTAGATTGTCCTGGGTGTGGAAACTGGCGTGGGTCTCGAAGAACCCTCAGAATTGTTTTTGTTTTCTGGGTTTTAACATCCACTCAAAATAAACCAGAGTTACAATTTCATTTATATAATTTGCTGGCATGTAGGAGTCTTCAGTAGTGGGAGAAAACTTCATTAAGGAATTATGATCTAAAGCCCTATTATTAACGATGAGACAAACTTCATACGATTAAAGGTTTATTCACCAGAATAAATAGAGAGGGAAAGATATAACTTGCGATCTATTAGATTAGAACATGGAGCAAACCAGAGTACCAGGGAAAAAACACACAAGGTTAAACAGACCGCCTTACTCCTTGTCACATTCACGTGTGGGATCGAAACCACACTACTTGATTCAATTACAGACCTTATGAAATGAAATGAAAATGAAATGAAATGGGGTTTAACATCCTACTGTTCTGCTCCTAACCTGGGCTAATGAAGACGGGCATACGCCATACAGTGTGCTATGAGGGAAATTTTGCCCGGACAGCGGCACTACGGCCTACTCTTATATCGAATTCCAACTGCCAAGGGATCTTTTACGTGCACGCAAATGTGTACACGGGACCTCGGTTTTTCGTCCCATCCGAACGACTAGACAGCTTTCCTTGTCAGCACCTCCGTCCTGCATCACTGACATATATATATATATAAAAAATATATATATAATTTTGTATGACCTAAATATAAAATAACGCATTGACACCCCCCTCCCCCCACCCCCCCACACACACATTCCTTACACGTACCTGTAATATTTCTCCATCATGTGCTTTCCAGGTGACCATGATGATACCAGATATTAGATCTATCACAGTTATCATACCAGTAGAAAATCCAACAGCTACCCATTTACCTTCAGGACTAACAGCTACACATCTCATTAAACCTGTTAAATATCAAAACATTTATAGCCATGTTTCGACAGCATCTTATCCAAAGGAATATACCTGGATGCTAACCGAATTTGATAAAGAAAGGATCATTCAAGAAATCTGATCTCTATCATGTTTACAAGATTTGAAAAAAATCTGTTATAAACTGTAACCTCTATCATGTTCACAGGGTTTTCAGAAAAAGGGGAGATAACTCAAAAACAGAAAGTCCTGTTAAGTCATGTGGGGTGAATAAAAATGACTAGACTATTTTTGATTTGGTTAAACTGAATTTGATGAGTTGATTTGTTTCATGAAGTGGGTATTTGTCTACATTTATAATTTCTGATCACAGATTGAGACAATATTAAAATACAATTGGTTTTATTCATAAGCAGTGACTGAAAGTTACTCTAATAACATCAGAGTCGTCATATAAATTTGTTATTTAAATATCTTTTCTGATAAAATTAAGTATTCTTTTGCAGAAGATGACCTAATTAATATAAAAGGATTTTATCTATTGGATGGTATGGACTATATCACATATATTATATTTACCTGATGAGCATCGAAATTCATGAGCATATTTAGATGTACGTAAATCTAAAAACCTGAAGAAAAAGATAATGATTTCAGTAGATCAGACAGTGGCACATTGGCACACCACAATGCTAGAATCAAGTTGGTCTCCTACAGAAATCTCAGTACACATCTTGTTTCCTTCAATTGAATGTTCACAGACAAAACTGGACTGTATTTTCACTTATTCATAAATAAAGCAGATGTCCCACAAGAGAGTACTAGTATTTCAAATAAAGAGTATAAGACAGTTTGAATCTAAATAAGTGCAGGGTTATACACCAAACTTTAGTAATTATTGTACCACACAGCTTCAAAATCTTATTGAGCTCTTGTGTATTACTGAGTGGAATTTGGAATGGCTGTTCCCCACTCAACAGATTCTTAATTTCTTTATCATTACAAACAGGCTTTTTATCCACCTCATGTTGAATATATAAGGTTATGATATTCCAATTATTTTGGGGACGAGGAATAAAGGTGTTATGGGGGAATTTTGTAAGTTATCAATTCACAATTTGGTTATTCGTTTTGCTTGGAGATGAATAATGGTGCCACAAGGAGAATTCTGAATGAAATTACGTAAGTTGGTCTGTGACTTAAGGACATGTATATTGGAGTTTAACTTAAAATAGGATAAAAGGGCTGAGGTGGTTGAACAGTATTTTATTTATTTATTTATTTATTATTCTAAGAAACAGATACATTCATAACAAAAATACAAAATGATTGAATTATGATATGTCATGAATAATCTGCTTCTTAAGGATAACCCATAAAAACCAGCAAAAATTACACAATGTACACATGGACCAGAATGTCCTGGGTTAGGATCCTGTAATGAACATAGGATAGAATTAATTTGTTTACCTAAGTGTAGCCTCTGTATTCGCTGTAACAAGTAATGTACTAGGTGAAGGTACTGGTGCTAAAGCTACAACATATTTAGATGATTCTAATTGTCTCACTGATACACCAGTAAATGGATCCCAGATCTAAATATAGAAAGTAATAGCAATCAAATATATGATTAAATATATATATACATGTGACCCAAGAACTCTTTCTTCTGGGGCTGGAACCGATTACAGTGCTGACTGAAAATGTTTCGGAGAGCTGGTTGACTAACCAGGAGGTCTGGGATTAGGTTCCGTTGTTGGTCGGAAAAGTTCCTCTGGATTTTTCAGTCTGTTTTTTTTTTGTCAAGGGTGCAGAAAAGGGCCTGGTAAGAAAAAGGTCTAGTCGTTCGGTTCGTAACATAAACCAAGATCCTGTTTATACCATTAGCATCATGATAAAGATCCCTTGACAGTTAGAAATGAAAATAAGAGTAGGCCATAGAGCCAATGTCACAGCAACATTTCCCTCATACCACAATGCATTGTGTAAGGCTGTATTCATCGACCTGGATGGTGCAGAAAAGTAGGTCGTTAAACCCCATTTCATTACATTTCTTTTATTTGGTTTTTAAAATATCATGCAAGAACTCATTCTTCTGGTTATCAAGATTTAAAATATAGATCTTTGATGTTGATGTACCATTATTTCAAACAATAGTAATTGCATCGGCCATTCATATACCCCGGTATTATTTTTTATACTAGATGAAATTTCTAACTCGCATGACAATTGCATTGAAATGCAACGTGCAAGATGTATATTTAAGTCATTTCAATGTCTCAAGCAAGACATTATGACGTTATTGATATATTACTTAATGTCTAGCTCTCGACCATTAAGCCATACACAGTCTAAAAGAATTGAGTGCGATATATAAAGTAAAGAAATACATATTACACATAGAATAAATTACACTAGCCCCACCTCCCCTACACACACACACAAATTAAGAATGAAGTACTTACATGAACAGAACTATCACAAGAGGCAACAAGTCGAGCTGTTTCAACATAAGCCACTGAAAACACAGATTTTTTATGTTGTTGATAATTATATACACACGAACATCTGAAATATAAAATATCATTGTAATCTCCTAATGTAGATATCTAAAAATAATTAATTTGTAAATAGAAAAGAAGCTAAAGATGCTTAAATCAATCCGATTCCTAGGAAAGTTTTTTTTTTAAAATCTCTATAAAACATTATGCAAAACCATAAATTATCAGGTTCTTAAGCCCACCCAACACTAGAGGGGGCTATTTTAGACTAAACACAGAATATTTCATTTCAATAATTGGCTAGTTATTGTCTGTCAATACTCTGGACATTTTGAAACTAACACATAGTAATTTTCATATTAATGGTTACATGTGAAATTCCAGTTAGTTTGGGAGAATTTTGTCCAGACAGCAGTATTTCCACCTAATTGTTTTCTATTTCCAATTGTCAATGGAACCAGACTTGAAAAAACTTGAAGGTTCTTCTTGGCTAATGCTGGGAATCAACCACTGGGCAATTCTTGTCGTGTTTTTTTTTGCTCAATGACTGCGCTCCCTCTCCTCTAAAAATTGAGCATGAATAATAAAATGAAATAAAACTTACTTTCCGTTTCCATCTCCAACACTAGCTAGAGACCAGAGTTTAACTGTTTTATCTTTACTTGCACTAATAAATGAATTCTCACTATCCATTACATATAATGATCTTATACTGTTTGTATGACCTACAATATAAAACATTCATTACATACAAAGATCTTATACTGTTGGTATGATATAAAATATAAAACATCAATTACATGTAATGATCTTATACTGTTTGTATGACCTACAATATACAACACCCATTACATATAAAGATCTTACACTGTTTGTATAACCTATAACATTGATCTTATACTGTTTGTATAAAATATAAAAACATCAATTACATATAAAGATCTTTGTTTGTATGACCTATAATATAATATAATACATCAATTACATATGATCTTCTACTGTCTGTATGAAATAAAATATAAAGCACACTTATAATCTTATACATCAATTATTATCTTATACTGTATATGAATACAGACTATTTAATTGGTCAATGAATTGGTCCAAAACCAGTCACATATCAATAGTACAACATCAAAAATAATTGACATTAAATTTAATCAGCCTGGAACTTACCAACAAGTGAATTTAAACAGTTTACAAAATGGCAACTTACCAACAAATGTTTGAAGTTTAATTTGTTTAAAGTTGAAGGACGTATCTCTTTCATGTAAACCTAAATAAATATAGAAAACATACATTACTACATTACTAATGATAAGTTGCCAGGCATTGAAACTTAGAGGAACAGCATGAAAGTCATCCTAGCAGCCCATATTGGTTGTTATATTGTGATGTTTACTAAAATAAAAAGCAAAGTCTTTAACTGAAAAAATCATCAGAGCATTGACATGATCCTTTAACATAATCAGGGGCAATAACTCCAGGTGGAATTATCAGAAATCATTGTATTTAAATGAGCTTAATCCTCACAACAATTGAAACAAAGGACATAAATTTCAAGTCGATCAGATGAAAACTTTAGCTGAAAGAGCGTTCAGAAGGTTCTACAATGTGAACAAGAGCAATAACTCTAGAAGCAATTAACATAAATTATATAAGTTATCTTACTAAATTTAGAGCACATCCGGCGATAGCTTTTGTCACGGAATGTTTACAATATTCTATATAAATTGAATTAGTAAAGGCATGAACACATATACAAAAAAAGTAGTTAGATATTTATGAAGTGAAATAAAGAAAATTCAGTATAAAATTCTCTTAAAAACACAAACCTAATTCATGTTCCCAGTAGGCCAACCAATTTCCTCTTAAATGTCTTCCCTTATAGGTTTCTGAATTATCACTGTAATATATAACATACATATATATAACGTACATAAATACTTCTATTTATTAACAGACTAAATATTTAAAAGGTGTATGGCTCTATTCTTTGGAAACTTAAAACAGACAAAATAAGTCTAAAAGCACATATTGATGTAATTTGAATGTATATAAAGTGATTCCTATTCAATTTTTAAAACATTTATTGTAATTTCTAATCAATTAAACAATTAAACCGTCCAATTTGAACGGCAGTCATTTACATCTGCTTAGTCTAATTTACACATTTTTTATTGTCCATTGCAAATGGCAAACAAAATCTTACCGTACACCGACTGGTGTACTAATTTTAAAATGTTCATTGTGTTTTAAATATCGGATATTAGGATCCCATACTTTCACGGCAAGATAACAAAATCAGTATTGATTGTAATGGACCAATATTGAATTCTAATTGGTGTTTTTAATTTTATGTATTATGGAAAATATTGAGTTACAAGTTTAGCTCCTTATAACAAAAAAACTTGAAATATTTCTGTAGTATATGATGTATTTCTGTTGCTTTATCTACCATGTAAAGTGCTAAGTTAAATCATCTTAATTTTCTTCAATTTAACTAAGAAAGAACAACTTCTTTGTTTTATGGATATAAACATTGCTATATTGAAATAAAATGAAAATCGAAATAGAATTAATTGTTGAATAAAATGAAAGAGAGCAAGCACTACTCCTAGTTTCTGGGGATAAGGTGGTCAAGTGGTCAGACAACATGACTGTCAACTAGAAAGTCCTAGAGTGAGCCATGTTTATTTTATATCTAGATTACCCATTAGAAATTTAATAGAATTTTTGTGTTGTTGAGCCTACTTGACACTTGTAGTTTAATGTATCATTTCTAAGTTAATTACCCTTGGAAGTGCAAATTTACATGCTTTTAGAAATCTACTGCCAAATCATGGTTTCTACTGCATTTTTTGCACTACCCTACTGCATTGCAGCTCTGAGGTGTTGACGGGTCTGGCCAAGAAGAACTTCAGAATATTTCAAACCCACTTCAGAATGGAAACATAAGAAATAAATAATGAAAATATTAAACTTACAACATAAGATCATCAGGATATATAGACAATATACCAGAATGTCTATAATTACGACCTAACTCTGTTATAGTTGAACTAGTTGTCTCAACACTCTCTGTTAACTGAATCCGGTTACCTATCATAGCTACGTTACGTCCTATACCACCTAATACTTCATTCCCACAATCCTCTACACTTGTTAACGTATCTAAAAATATACATTAAACATACATTATGCAAGAGCTAAATCTGCCAATTTGCAGGTCCTTCTTTAGGCCTGAATGATATCTAAATTATTAATTAGGCATTAATTAGACCATAATCAACTCTCGATGCCATTGCTAGCCTGCGATATTTAGCAGATTGGAATACATTTTGTGAAGGATAATTAAATGTTAAAATGGATAGGCAACCCTACTCCTTGTCACGTACAACCGGGGATTGGAAACCATGGCAGTTGACTCAATGACAGGCCTTAAGATACAGCGCGCACATGCTAACCATTCGGCCATCCAACCCCCGCCCAAATAAAATAAAAGTCTTACCTATTCCATCATCAATAATAGTATCATCTGATTGTTGTAGATGTTGGTCAGCTGTTTGATCTTGTTGAGAACATAACTGTCTCATTAAATCATCACAATATAAATTACATTCCATATGGATCCTGAAAATAAAATCATATCAGATTTAAGACAGACATGTTAAAAACGAATAAATGAAATGAAATGGGGTTTAACGTCCTATTTTTCTGCACCGAATGGGCTTATGCAGATGGGTATATTGCCTGGAAGGCGGTGCTATGGCCTACTCAAATTACAAGTGTCAAAAGGGTTCTTTTACATGCACGCAAGCATAGTTTTTTGTCCTATCCAAACAACTAGAAGCTGTTCTTTGCCAGGCCCTCTGTCCTGCACCATTAACGTTGACATGTTATAATATTGAAACAAACATAAGTCCAATTTTTATTTCAATAATTTGTTTGTTCATATATGTCTTTAGGAGTCGGAGGCGTATCATTCTAACATCTAGAAATCACACAATTGTGGGATTCATTTACTCGCCAATAAAAGAGAGAACGAAATGGGGTTTAACGTCCACTCAACAAAAACTAGGTCATTTCAGGGGTAACACATGGTTCAATTTTATTTCAATAAAATTTGCTTGCGCGTAGGGGTCTTTAGCCGTGACAGGAAACCGGAGAAAACCTGCGAGGTAGGACAGGTGACCCTACTCCTTGTCATGTACAAGCAAGTAATAGAAACCATGCTACTTGACTCAATGGCAGACCTTGTGACTGGACATTTATTTACTTACCCTCCAAATACACCACAGATAGGAACGTAAGCAGCTAGAGCCAATTCTGGTGTAAATACATTGGCTAATTCTTGTTGACCACCCTCTTTATTGTCATAGTTTTTATTCTCAGAATTCAGTTCCTCTAAAATAAAATCAAAGTAGACTATACATATATAAAGCATACATAGAGGACTATCAACTCTCAAAATACAGTTCTTCTAAAATAAAATCAAAATAGTCTCACAGGCCCTGAATCAAATCTTCGAATTCAATTCCATAAACATACAAATAGACACAGGCCTCCTATCAATTTTCAGAATTCAGTTCCTCTAAAATAAAATCAAAATAGGGAGAGTGAGAGAGAGAGAGAGAGAAATGGGGGTTAACCTCCACTCGACACAAACTAGGTAATTTCAGGACTAACACATGGTTCAATTTTATTTCAATAATTCGCTTGCACGTAGGGGTCTTTAGTAGTGGGAGGAAGCCGGAGGACTGGGAAAACCCACGAGGTTGGACAGGCAATCCTATTCCTTGTCACATACAATCAGGGAATCGAAACCCTGCCAGTTGACTCAATGACAGACCTTATGATACAGCATGCACGTGTTAACCATTCGGCCATCCAACACCCCCTCACACATAGGCCTATACATGTAGATGTAATAAGCATAGGTAACAAGCATATGTAATAAGCATATACGTGCAATGACATACCCCTTTCATCTGGCAAGTTGATAGATGATAAACTATGATATTTTGATGATTGTTCATGTTTAGGTCGTTGAGCTGCCATATGAATACTGCTGACAGATACAGGTGTACCTATCTTATATTCTCTGGTTGTAGAATCCATCTTGATTGTTAAATACCCTTCTTCAGAACCCTGACTTCCGATAACTAAAATAATAATACCGGTAAGCATGGTATAATGATCGAGAGCGAGACATTAAAGATACATTATGGGAGATTAGATAAAGAGCTGGTAGTTCTCACTATAATAGTTAAAAACTAGATAATGTAATGGGAAATTGCTGAAAATTTCAGTCAAATTGTTTCACTCTAAGCTGAGAAAACCTTTTTTAAAATAACTGTAGCCTCGATTGTCATTGTCACGAAAATTAACAAAGTCTTGATTATCCATTTTTGTGTTTAATCATAAACAGACGTTAACAGCAGATCAGATTCAAATTCAATGAAAATCGAACAGATAAGATGGCATGTTAATAAATGTCTAATTAATAGTTTATATAACATTTCAGGCCTAAATAAAGACCTGTATGTTTAAGTAATATATTGATACTGCACGAGGGCGTTATACACTATCCTGAACAGGAATCTACCATTTCATTAAGTAAAAATAATGTATGATTGGCACATTGGAAATAATGATATGCCAACATCAAAGGATGGTTTCTTATCTGTTTTTTCAATACGTATTAATACAGTAACATCTGCTCTGTATCACATTCAAATATGTATTAAGGGACATATCTCATAACATTTCATAAACAAATTTTCAAGATTATCATCATTTGTTCTTCATATTAAAGAGTCGTTCCAATTTTAAGACACCGCTGGAAACCGAACATCAAAAACTAATAGATAGCTTACCTGACGGTGAGGTAGATTCTAAGTTGAAATTATTTGCAGAATTTTTACCGTGGACAAAATTAAAGGCATCAAAGAACAACTGCATAGGTTGATTCAGATGTGTACGAGTCATTTCAAATCCTAATCGTAATCCAATAACATATAAAACATCTATAATCTTATGACTAATAACAGAACGAATCAGGCTGCCACCTGGGAAGGATATAGAAGGGGAGGTAACCAGTTTAATAATTGGTATCAATGTATCTTTAACAAAAACATCCTATAAAAAGAAAATGTTTAAAATTAATTTAATCATTTCCTATAACCGATACAAGTCCAAAAATCTGACATAGCCAAGAAGATAAATAAGAAACAAAAAAAAAGTACATGTATTTGACATAATTAGTTTTTATATTTTGGTTTTAATCGAAGACTTTAGATTATTAAACCTTTACTTACACTAATAACATCCATGAGAGTTTTATTAGAAAGAAATGGTATAATATATCGTAACAATAACAATGCACCAAATAAACCAGTTTCTGAACGATGTGTCAATCGCTTCTGACAAACAGAAACCTGAAAACAATAAATATATCTATATAATCATCAAAATCTAAATTAATCCTTGTATACAATATCTAAAAATTTCTATTTACAAACATGCAATGGACGGACTAATCATTTTATATCAAATTGTATAATCTGAAGACTAAAGGGGGACAACTGCATTATTATGTGGGTTCAGACCGGTAATTTGCATATCAGAAACAGCATTACACCCAACTAATGATTTTATATCATATTGTACAATCTGAAGACTAAAGGGGAAAACTGCATTATTATGTGGATTCAGATCGGTAATTCTCTTATCAGAAACATCATTACACCCAAAATGAGTCCAGCTAGTTTCAACGAAAGAAAAAAGGGCTCAGATGGGTATAATATTGTAGTTAAATTTTACTTATTGAACCCTTTAATAATCTACTAAAGTAAATGTAGGTAATAGTACTGCTTATTAAAAAAAAGGTTGCCAGGCAACGAAACATGCGGCCACAGCAGCTAAATCGTCCGCGCGGGTTCGACAAGGGTTGTCGCATACATGTATTTATCTTTTGTAGATGATTGGGGGCATTTACAAGACAATTTCATATAGATCAGATTATAATTTTCATCATTTGAGGGTTCACAAGGTTCCATAAACTGAACAAGGGCGATAACTCTAGGCTTAATTATTGAAAATTGCTGAAATTCAATAGGCTTCTTTGCTATGTGGGCATATAATAAAGCATAAAATAAACTGATGATATAATAAACTTACTAAATCAACTATACATGGTAAATATTGAAGTAATATAACTTGTTCACCATACAACTCCGCTACAAAACCTAAACATTCTAATATTTTATGAGAGTGGGTATCACCAACTATCAACTTGGATGACTTCAAATTATAATTATCTGTAAAAAAATAAAAGAGAATCTGTTAACACATAGCTGCTCAAATTCAAAATTCCCCAGTTTCTTATTGATCGAGAAATGGTGTCAAATGTGTATACAGTTCTCAACAAGAATTGATACCAACAAGACTTTGCAGGTTCAGAGACCTGAATTGTGCAGCGAGTTTTTTTGTCCTGAATAAGACACTTCATTCCTATATTCCAGCGCGTTCAGTTGTAAATGGGTACGAATGCTATCAATCGCTATTTCAGCCAACTGCGATAAAAATATAACTTTGAAGATTAAATTTCAAATCTGTCAATTCCTTGGGTGATAACTGTTACCTTGTGGTAAATCGTTTTTGCTGTGGCGATATTTTTATTTTTCATTTCGTCCTTCCAATCCGTTACATGTGCTCAATCAAATTATAATTTATGATGACTAGTTAAAAATTCAAGAAAAGTTTTAAAAATAAAAGACTAATCTGATCGTATAAGTTTTCAATTACAGGACATTAATAAGCCTGAACAGATAAATGTTGCACATTTTGATAGTGAGTATTTTTATGACCAGTCAAACAAACTAGCAAATTTTTTTTACAGCTGAAAACTTCTGACCTACAGACAAACATGAATAGATAAGGGAGAAAACCCCCAGAAAAGGCCAATCTGATTAAAACGTAGATTTATTACGGTTTTTTGTTTTTTATAGTTCAAAATTTCGTTTAACTTGTCTTTACTACACTAGGATCTGGTTGAAGTAAAGGATTAGCCAATGAAACGGTCACCCACGGCGAGTTCTTGGCGTTTGATGCACGGAACTGTGGGTAAACCACTAGAAACGTCAACGCTGATTGATTAATCAATGTCTGACGTCATAGGGTCAAAAGACGCTCGTACGACCCATGACGCGACCCTCCAGTACACTTGGTCAGATCTTCATGTTGTGTAGGTCATCGAAAGTATAAAAAAAAAATGAAATGAAATATAGATCTGTATTTTAATCAGATTGAGAAAATGCAGGAATATTACCTGTTTTTTCCAGTGGTCGTAACTGTTCTTCACCCATATAACACAATGAGATCATCCGTATTAAATTACGGGATAAATGTTTGGCTGTAAGAACAGGTCCAAGTTTATGGCATAGCCATTTTACACTTTCCGTCGCCACATCGCGAATATTCAAAATATCCGTTGGACTCGATATTGATATGTTCATCATAAGATCCTCTGTTTCACTTCGTACCATGCTCTCTTTTCTCTTTGGGGTGAGAGTTTCATCCCCTCCTTCTGCTGTCAAATAAAATTGTTTAGGATTTTCATCTTCTTCGTCATGGCTTTCCGTGTCCGACACTAAACCCCTGTATTCAACATTTGGATTATCTTCATTTAACAAACCAGTATTGCTTTCATCAATACTCGACAACTTATCGCGTGATTGTTCTAAAAGGTGGGATATACTGTGAATTGAGGCCACACTTCCAAACACGCCCGCATCATCCTCTACGGAATTCTCTTCATCAACCGACTGTTGATTCTCGCTGTCCTCGCTACCCATGGACATTTTACCCACACTTGTTGAATCTACAGACCGAGGAATGTTTCGATTTTCTTCTTCTTCTTCGTCTTCCAACGACATATTGTCTGGGAAATCGTCTTCAATCTCGTCCACGTCTGCTTGTGTACTTTCATCTTTACCCGTTTCCCAACTGTAACTGGTTTGAAAAGAGAACTCATTTGGTTGCTCGATATTCAGTTCATTGGGAGATCGATTCATTGCCATATTAGGATCCCAATTCGGACTTGTGTTTGTCAGCTCTTCTTGATCCATCTCCTCTAAAAGTTCTTCATTGTAAAATTTACTGGGTACATAAAAATCTTTAAAACCGGACACAGCTTCGACTAAAAGAGTCGAGAAATTCAAAATAAATGTTTTTAATCCTAAACGGACGATGAGCTGCATGAGGAATTGTCTATGATATAGTTTAACATGTTTCGCTGTAGAATTTTCCCCACTGAACAACTTAATAAGATGCGGCAACAGTCTCTTCGCTGTTTCAACTTTTCCTAATTCCCTACTCATGGTATTAAGGAAACACCATGCCGCTTGGACTGTCGTTATTTCATTTTCAAATAGTTCTTCTATATATGGTGATAGAATATCTAACCCCTCTTGACCCAGTTTATTGTGATATTTTGTAAGGAATTGTTCTAAGAGCGGAATCTTTTCTCGTTGTAAACATTTCGTCATAGAATTTTTTTCAGCAGGTGTCATCTTACTCCAGCGTAGTTTTTCAATTTCTGCGTCTTTTTGTTTGATTTCTGTCAAGCAGGTGTAAAGTTTATCAAAGTATTCTGGGAAGGGTAGTATATGAGAATAGGGCTGCAGTAAATAACTAGGGGATGGTAGGGGGATTCCCTCTTCATTATCGGACAGATATCGAAATAACTTTTTATCTTCAGAGCTTTCATCAATTATTAAGTTTTTAAATAGAAAACCTGTAGCTTTCCTAAGTGGTCTAAAAAATAAAAATCAAAAATCAAAATATATTAATCTATAATAATAACAGTTGACTGACGGTTTAGTGATTACAATCCTATCGTAATATATATAGGGAAAGAGATATGGGGTTTAACGTCCACTCGACACAAACTAGGTCAATTCGGGAATAACACACGGTTCAATTTTATTTAAATAATTCGCTTGCGCATAGGGGTCTTTATCAGAGGGAGAGACCTGGAGAAAACCCACGAGGTTGGACAGGGGACCCTACTCCTTGTCACGTACAACCACAACCGGGGAATCAAAAGCCCGCCAACTGACTCAATGACAGACCGTATGATACAGTGCGCACATGCTAACCATTCGGCAATCCAATACCCCCGTAATATATATAGATGATTATGATCAGTCTCTAATTTAGTGTATATGATGTGGTATATATATTGCGGGGGGGGGGGGGGCAAATGGTTTAACAAGTGTGATTTGTCATTGGGTCAAGTGGTATGGTTTTGATCCCACGCTAGTACATGACAGGGAGTAAGGTCTTCGATCTAACTTTGTGAACTTTCTCATATAAAAACTAGGAATTTACCTATAGTTATTATCTTAACAACAAGGATCTATATAAGGGGTTTAGGATGGCCTAACTGGCCAGTCACCTCTGGCTTGCGGTCGTGGTTTTGATCACTGATGTGAGCGTATGTGGCTTGGAGAAATGAACACCTTCTCAACCTCATGGGTTTGCTCCGGGTACCCGGTTTCCTCCACCGAACAAGACCCCTACACATGTGCAAAGCATAATAAAATAAGACAACTTCTCAACCTCATGGGTTTGCTCCGGGTCCCCCAGGAGAGATCCCTTTGCATGTGCTAAGCATAATAAAATTAGACAACTTGTCTGCGATACCACCATCAGTGGAAGCAAACGTTAAAACACTAATAGAAGAAGGATCTATAAACAATCTGACATACCTTGGGAGTTCTTCACAATCAGATGAACATATAGATCGGATTAATTTGTATCTTTCTATGTTTGATAAATTTGGTCCCAGAGCTCGAACTTTCGGGGAGAGGAAAATTTCACACATGTTACAGATGAATACGGCCAAATCTTCTGTTAAAATATCTCGCACTTCATCGTCCAGGTAACTTTTACTCTACAAACAAAGAGTATATTTAGAAGCTGAATGGCCATTTTAACTAGTAATCCCTTTTGACTGTCTTCATTAGCTTTGTTGGCGCAGAACAGTAGGATGTTAAACCCCATTTCATTTCATTAACCCTTTTGTACCTACAGAGCCCGAAACTACTGTTCTTCTACATACTAATTTTAATTCTTAACTCAATGATTTTAGTAATCAACTCAACTGTAACTACAAAGATGACATTAGACTGATATTACAAACAGACAGTTTTAGCATTCAGGCAATAAGAGTTGCATCGGCAAATAGAGTTTATGCAAATGGGCATGGTACTGTGTTCACATAACATTAAATCACATTCTATTTCATGGAGGAGCGATGGCTCTGCAAGTAAGGCACTGGCTAGCTAAACAGACTGTCCCGAGTTTCAAACTCACTGTTGGCTGATTTTCCGCGTGCATTCTCCTTGTGGTGGACAGAGGGCTGCAAGGAACAGTATCTAGTTGGCATGCACGTAAAAGAACCCTTGACATTGGGAATTTGAAATAAGAGTAGACTGTAGTGTCGCTGTCCAGGCAAAATTTCCCTCGTAGCACACCATATGGCACATGCATGGCTTTATTACTATATTAGCCCAGTCTCAGCAGAACAGTAGGACGTTAACCCCCATTTCTTACCTTTTGATCTTGTGTAGCAGGCAAATGAAGTAATGATTTACTAGAAAAGTTAAACTGACTTTCATAATCATCGAGAGGTTGTAGTATATTATAGTTTTTAGGTAGATGTATTACTGCTGATTCTGGCCGTGTCTTGTCAACTAAATCAACAATCTCCATGGAACTATAACATAATAATAATAATAATGTGAATTTATAGAGGGCTTAATCCTTCCAAGGTGTATGCTCTAATAACAGTAATAGGTCAATGGCTACTGTCAATAACACATAATATGTGTCTTAATAAAATACTTTCCCAAAAAATTATTTATCGGGGGTTATTTCCAATAAAAGTATGGCAAATTTTGGTATATACGGAAAGTAGAAATATCCAATCTTACTAGAAAAATACTGGATTCCCTTAAAAACACCCATGGAACGCATACAGGACAAAAATGTAAGGGTTTCCCTAATCGGCAGCCCGACAACCAGGAATGTCTGCTCGCTTCACGCAAAGGCAGCATGCGAAGATTGTTAGCTTGATGTATAGAGAGAGACATGGGGTTTAACGTCCACTCGACACAAACTAGGTCATTTTGGGACTAACATATGGTTTAATTTTATTTCGAGTTTGATGTATATGTTGATAAACTTGATGAAGAGTTAAACGTACAATGTACAACACTTTCTGAGATAAAAACCATGGATAAGGATTTGATATTTATGATTTATGGATAGTGATTAAAGACAACATCGCCTTGTGTATGCAATAAATTCTCCTCCGGCTTCACACCTGTTGCTAGGTAGTGCGTCAGCTATGTCATCTGACACAAACATGACTTTTTTTAATAGATTTCTTTATAGTAAGGTTATTCCCTCGGGAAAACAGTGTTTTGAGAAGGATATAAAGAAATCACCCAGTTTGTATGCGGGAACATATTTTTAAGTCTTGATTTAAATTGAGTAATCGATTCTGAAAACTTTATCACAATTGGCAAGTACAATGCAATTAATTAACGAATCAATTTCTTGCCAGGTGGATAGGACATATCTAACCCCATATTGAGTCCATATTTAACCAATATCTGCATAAAATTAGGCATTGTTTAACTTATTATAAAGTGCACCAAAAGTAATCTCATCTCAGGAAACAAATTCAGGAATGATTTGGCCTGGTACCCCCCCTAATCATTTTCAGGACTTTTGGTGCCAAATTTAGTGTAAAATATAAACAGAGTTTTATATATGAGATTTATTCAATGTTTTGATAAAAGTAACAATGCCCCTTTAAAATTATTTTTTCAAGATAGAAGTATGTCAGAATTTGGAACATATAAATAAATCTCAAAATACCTCAATTCATGTACAACTGTCTCTGGACCACTTGAACTTGAACTAAACATCATCATCTATCATAAAAATAAAAATAATAATATAATTATTTTTTTTTTATCTCTGCACCCATTCATCAAGAGAGACACTGTATTGACAAATAATATTTTATAACCACCAGGAAATAAAAAATTAATCTGTGTCCACTACTTGACCTCAATTTCTTTGTGACCTTTGACCTATAGAATTTATATCCTACTTATACTCCATCATAAGCATACAGTTTATTCTAAGAATTTATGTTCATTTTTGATGGCATGTCACTTTTTTTTCATCAGTGCGACAATTTAGATTGTCAATTAGGAAAGTAAAAAACTAAATTTTATTCTTAAAGATACATTATGGGAGATTAGATAATTAAAGAGATGGCAGTTTTCACTATAATAGTTAAAAACTAGATAATGTAAAGGAAATTTGCTGAAAATTTCAGTCAAATTGATCCACTTTGAACCGAGAATTCAGCGATTGAATTTTAGGCCTAGTCTCGATTATCATTACTAAAGTCGGTACGATAAAAAAAAATAGTCTCAATTATCCAGAAAAGAGGGTTAACATTGGAACAAATCTTTTTGATACTATTTTCATTTTTTGAATTCAACATAAAAGTCAAAATCGCAACTGAGCTTGACATTATTTTCATTTTTTAAATTCAGTCAAAATCTAACTTTGTGAAATTGTTTTCAAATTTTTAAGTTTAAGTTGAAATTCAAAATCGCACCTGAGATTGTAGAACTTTCTGAAACTGTTTTCATTTTTTTTTTCGGTTTAGAGGGTTAAAAGTCCACTCAACCAAACTAGGTAATTTTGGGACTAACATATAGGTCAATTTTTTTTATATACATTGTAATTCGCTTGCACATAGGGGTCTTTAGCAGTGGGAGGAAACCAGAGGACCTGGAGAAAAAAGGGGGGGTTGGATGGCTGAATGGTTAGCGTGCGCGAGCTGTATCATAAAGTCTGTCATTGAGTCAACTGGCGTGGTTTCGAATCCCCGGTTGTACGTGGCAAGGAGTAGGGTCGCCTGTCCAACCTCGTGGGTTTTCTCCGGGTCCTCCGGTTTCCTCCCACTGCTAAAGACCCCTACGCGCAAGCGAATTATTGAAATAAAATTAAACCATATGTTAGTCCCGAAATGACCTAGTTTGTGTCGAGTGGACATAAACCCCTTCTCTCTCTCTCTCTCTCTCTCTCTGGAGAAAAAATCCACAAAGTTGGACAGCTGACCCTACTCCTTGTCATATACAAGCTTAAAATCGAAACCATGCCACTTGACTCAATGGGGGATCATGGTGGCTAAGTGGATAAGACCATGGTTTGCTACCCTGGAGGTCGGGTGTTCGATCCCTGCATTGGTCAAGAAAGTTCATCCAGATTTTCCGGCATGGTTCCCCCTTGTCAGTGATGCAAGATGGGGAGCCTGACAAGGACAGCTGTCTAGTCGTTCGGAAGGGACGAAAAACCAAGGTCCCGTGTACACATTGGCGTGCACATAAAAGATCCCATGACAGTTGGAATTCGATATAACAGTAGGCCATAGTGCCGCTGTCCGGGCAAAATTTCCCTCATAGCACACTGTATGGCATATGCCTGTCTTCATTAGCCCAGTTCGGAGCAGAACAGTTGGACGTTAAACCCCATTTCACTTCACTTGACCCAATGACAGACCTTATATTCTAAAGTGTACGTATCAAAGATGAAGAATCTCACCTGAGCTGGTAGAACTTCTCTGGGTATTTTGGGTGGATGTAAAGAACTATAGATCTGTGATGTTGAAAGTTTATGTGGATGTGGCTCGGTAAACAGCTGTACGACACCGTGATTGCTAATAGACTTGTGATTATCAACTAACTGGAGATACACATTCTTAGATTTAACCGCTGCAGCACCTGTTAACTTTAATGGATAACAAAATATACATATTAATTTTTTCCGCATGAACAGATACAAAATTACTCCCCAGGTTAATGTTATACAAAGAATATGCAAAAATTCACAAAGACAGTTCTTGGTAAATTTTTGTTCAGAGGGTTATAGAGCTGAACCACGAACCCCTTCAAAGTTTTTCTAGCTATATTTTAATGCCCCCCCCCCCTTGCCCTCGAACATGGCTTTGATTTACAAGATTATTTGATTCAATTTTCTTTGAAAATGTAACAATAAACTTCACCAGGGTCGGAGGATCCCCATTTCGGTAGAACTTCCGTTTCAGTCAAATCAGAATTTCAAAGAATTAACATAAAACACAATGAATGAATACACTTAAATTTAAAGGTCTTATGTGTAAAATTCATCATAGTCATGGAAACAAAATACATAAACCAGCGGTTGCCAGGCAAGATACGCCCACATTTTGCAAGAGATGGATAGATAGCAAGCTGAAACAAAAACCTGACTTTTCATGCAATCAGGGGTCGTAATCCAGGAAGTTATATGCGCAAATATCGAAAAGAAACCAAGATCTTTGGCAGATAAACCTATATTTCAAGTTTCGTCAAAATGTGAACAGATACACGAACATATAGACAGACGGGGCCAACAACAATATATGTGGGCGTATAAAAATTGTCTTACTGGCAAAATTTTTAAGTGAAATATTCATATATTCATAATCCAAAATATTGATTTGTTTACCTTGTATCCAAATGTAAGATCAATCCAATGATGTAACATCTCCGAAACAATATCACTCTCTAAAGCTGCCATATGTTTTAAAATAAAGTCATAAGCTGAGCTGCACCACTGTGGAATTTCAAGATCAGGCAGATCTTCATGTATAGAAACAAAAATTGTTGGATCTGTGTAAAATTCAGGGATGCATTCGTCTGGAGTCCATTCCTGCATTCTTTGCATACTGCTAGGATACTCATGTGGAACCCAGTTAGTCCGAACGTGCGTACACAAAATACTTTTTTCCGTCCGTCTTGCTTTGTAAACGTAATATGTAATATCGGACAAAACGTCGGAAACATGGTGTGGTATATGTTCTCCGTTATCATCCATTCCTATCATAGAATTATACGTAAAATCAAGCTGATAGTCTCCCTTGTTTATTCTATATTTAGACATCGTTAAATCTCTGTGTCCAAACTCTGGTGTCGTAAAATCCTTTACCCACGGTAAAACTGGATGATTATTTGGATCGTTCATGACTCGTCCTGCTAAGTGATTTAAAATCATAAGGTATTCAAAGTTCGTTAATTTTTTACAGACCCAGCGGTCAACAATAGAAGGAAGATCTTTGATCGTATATTGCTTGTACGTACAGGATTTCAAAACCTCACGGGCCTGGCTTACAAGTTCTTCTCTTTCCGATGATGCCCTGAAACGACGTTCCGGGGATCTTTCCCCTTCAAGAACATCACAATTTTTTGACACTACTAACAATTCTTTTGATTCTTCTCGGGCTTTGATCATCCATGTTTTAATTTGCGGTGTGGTTAATGAAATCCATAAATTTTGATTGATTAAAATATTGCTTAATTTGATACCTTTTGCCGAGATACCATGTTGATGTAAACAATGCATAGCATGAAGCAACTGATACACAATAAAAAGTGAATTGGCTGTCGAGGATGACAACACACTAGGACTAAAGAACACGATATTATGTAAGGTGTAAGAAACATAGGGCTGCACAAAAAAGAAATGGGAGGCTGTCTCTATTAAAACTGAGAGGGGTACTAAATTTGGATGTGGGGTACTTTGCCTCTTTGACGATAGCGGTAATATTGTTCCTGTAGAGTCCAGATTGATGTAAATATCTGGTTTGAATTTATCAACATATTGGTAAATTGAAGCACTGAACTACAAAAGAAATAAAAGTCATAAAATTATAAGTTTGAATCTATCAACATACAATGGAGAACGCTAGATAGGAGATGGTCCTGCACATCTGACGTCATATGTGGATTGTGGGTTAGGGTTAGGGTAGGGATTAGTGCTAGCCTTGATTACATCTTGAGACTTTGATGAATTCTACAGGTCCTAACCCTTAATCCACATAAGACGTCAAATAGGCTAAAATGTGCAAGACCGTCTCCAATCCTTTGAAATTCTTTGAAATTGACTGACAATTAAGTTCTCCTGTCAGTCAATAACATGCAAAGATGAAGATGACTAAAACGATAGCCCTGTCTGAAACTAGATTTCACAAGACGAATCATATCTCAACTTACTCTTTGTAATTCTTTTTTATGTTTTGAGTTATTTGATCCCAGATACAAATGATGAGCTGTCTTCCATTTTGTATTAAAATTTTCATGTGCCACATAAACCAGATGTTCAAAGATATTACTGGCGATGTTACCATTGTGAAGATTATCAATCCGTAATCTGAAAATAAAGTAAATAAAGAGAGAGAAATGGGGTTTAACGCCCACTCGACACAAACTAGGTCATTTCGGGACTAACATATGGTTTTATTTTAATTTAATAATTCGCTTGCGCATAGGGGTCTTTAGCAGTGGGAGGAAACCGGAGAAACCGAAGGACCCGGAGAAAACCTACGAGGTTGAAAATAAAGTAAAAAAAAGAGGTCATATGACATATAACGTGTCTTTTTTTAGATTTGTTGTGAACAACGGATGGACGGACAGACATTACACTAACACATTTCAAAGCAATCAGTATGAACCAGTGTATATATGTGTTATAAATGCCCTCCATAAAATAATGTCACATGGAAATCATGTGAAGAAAGTCACATGGTTATTTCATATCTGAAGCGTATCAAAACATAATATAAAGAGACTATCATCCTGTTCCATATTATAATTCACTCTATAAAAATTCTGCAACATTCATCAGATCTTTACAGCCAGTCTTATAAATATCTAATTTGATAAGTCTATAATCAAATAAGGTTTAACATCTTGTCAACACAAGACTTCATTAATTTGGAAACTAATATTCAGTTAAGGTTACTGGGGTGAACTTTGCTTTCTTGTGACCAGTTCATTTGTGACCGTAATCAGAGATACAAAGAAATGCAGTTTAACATCCACTGGACACAAACTAGCATATAGTTCATTTCTATTTCAATAATTCGCTAGCGAGAGAGACAGAGATGAGGTTTGACGTCCACTCGACATAAACTAGGTCATTTTCGGACTAGCATATAAATAATTCAATTTTTTTTCAATAATTCGCTAGCAAGAGAGAGAGAGAGAGAAATGTGGTTTGATGGCCACTTGACACAAACTAGGTCATTTCGGGACTAACACATGGTTCAATTTTATTTCAATAATTTGCTTACGCATAGGGGTCTGTAGCAGTGGGAGGAAACTGGAGAACCCGGAGAAAACCCATGAAGTTGGACAGGCGACTTTACTCCTTGTCACGTACAAGAGAATTCAATAATTCGCTTGCGCATAGGGGTCTGTAGAAGTGAAAGGAAACCAGAGAACCCGGAGAAAACTAACAAGGTTGGACAGATGCCCCTACTCCTTGTCACCTACAAGTGGGGAATCGAATCCACGCCACGTGACTCAATGACAGACATTATGATGCAACCATTCGTCTACCCAATCCCCCAGACTGCAATCAGCCATGGCTTGATAAAGTTCGACGGAAAGCACATTGGTTGTTCTTCTAAACCGAGTCAAACTTGTTAAACCAAATTCAACAAGTCAATAGTCATTGCAATATTTGAACGAGTCCTGTTCATTTAATTATTTACCTTTCAACTAGTTCTTCTTGTTTCTTTACAACTTTTATTGCTATGCGTAACCATGATTCCGGAAGAGATATTGATGATGCTGCTAAAAGTCTCTCAGCTTCTGTTGGGTTAAAGATATCAGTAGCAGGAATGGTTCCTACTTTCCCTTGTCTTAAACATTTATACCAATCATTGGTTACCTAAAATGGAAGATAATAAATGCAGATATACATTGGGGGAAACTGGGTTTGGGTTGGAGGGGGGGGGGGGGGGTCTACTCAAGGGTAATAAATTTTTAAAACAGAAATTTTATCGCAGATTTTATAAGTTTATACATAAAAGACTGCTGGACATACAGCACCTGTCACAGATTTTGTACGGAATACAATAATAAAAGGGTGGTTCTGAGGCACATGTCATCACAGACTTTGTATTCTATATACCGGTATCAATAATCATAATAAAAACATTGTGTGATAATTTGTGTCCGACAAAATCTGTGATGTGTGCCTTCTGTCAGGGCATTATAGACTGTAATGCAGTAATCAGAAAAACATGGCACAACAGCCTAGGTTTTGCCTACTACGTACAGTAGAATGGCAGTTTACATAGTAGTTACAGCTAATTTTACGATTCTATAAATAACGATGAGGATTTTTATCTTATCTTAAATTTAGATGTTCATCATGTACACGTAAAGTGTAAGCTTAAACGTAGTTAATTCCATCATGAACTTTACATCTATGACTATTTTCATTAGCCCAGTCAGTGCAGAAAAGTAGGACAATAAAACACCATTTCATTTCATTCATTTTAACTAGTGACTACATGTAATCCTTCAGGCCATGATTCTATCACATTTTAAGCTTCCAACGGAAGTTCCACCCAATGTTGCCTATAGCCTACAAGTTATTATAGCAAAAAGGGGAAAACAATACATGTCATATTATTGTGGCTGTCTAAATATTCTTGGCCTAAAGGAAAATACTATAGTCACATGATGAATGACAGGGATGGTGGTACGTTGATACAGACCATTACTGAATTACATTTCCTTGTGCAGTCTAGCTGTAATTGTATAGATTTCAACAAAATTGTTTTATTTATGCATAGGCCTATATTGCATGGAAATAATTAAACCATGTACATCAGCTATGGGTACCACAATCAAAAAGAAACATAGGCCTTGTCAATTGACTTACAATGCAGACGATTCTTGTTTTTGACAAACAGCGACAGTGATGTTTTGGAATGGACAGTCGATCAGAGATCGCTGACACGGATTCCATTGCCTTCGCACACTTCTTGACATCCAGGAACTGAAGAAATGTTCCTTTTCACATCCTTTCTACCACAATCAAGGTGTATTCCGCTTTAAAACTCTCAGAATAATGTTGAGAACTAAACAAAAGGGGGTGTTTATTTATGAAAAAATAATTTATCATGTTCTAATTGAAGAGTTGAGAACAGGGGAGGTAACTCGAAGCTAGAAATTGTTGTCCATTGTAACCAAAAAAGAAAATAAATAAATAAAGTTTTATTTTCTATCTTTTTTTTTTTTTTCAAATGAAACGATTGAGACGTATAATCTTTAATACCAAAGAGTGGGGGAACGAGCGAGAGAAGGGGAGAGGGGCTTGGGCTAGGGCAACGTCTACCACTCGACACAAATTAGGTCATTTCGAGATGAACATACAGTTTAAATTTATTTCAATAATTCGCTTGCTGTGGAAGGAAATCGGACCCGGAGTAAACCCCAAGAGGTCTGCCCGTCGACCGAATTCCAACGTCGAACCTACTTCTTGACAAATATATGGTGTAAATAGTAAATACATAGATATCCAACAAATTGACGTAGAAATTTGTTCTAGTATCATTCCTTGTATATTGCTCTATAGGAATCATATTCATGATATTCCAATTTCTCCTGATTTTTTTTTTCTCTCTCTCTTTTTTTTCTATATTTTTGTTTTTATGTACAACTCTCACCCTCTCACCCATCTGATTGTCCGTTTTTGACTTTGAGTAGCCTAACTTAGATTGATCTAATAATATCATTTTAACTGCATAATATCGCAAACTTTTGACCGCCAGTTGTCAAAGCAGGCTACCATTTACTCATAAAAAAGGAAAACAAACAAATGTGTACGATTAACCTAGAAATAGTATCAAATGGTTTATGATGGGGTTTGTTTGGGATGCTTTTTTTTTGCCATCACTAACTTTCTTCATACATCTGTTATGACATTGTGAATAACAATTCATTAATTATCCGATGATATGTGTCAATCTAAACAAGAAAGTTTTAGAAAAAAAAAGAATCCTCCATCTCTATATAATATGGTTAGTTTTCTTGTTACAGGCACAGATCTCTTGCTTCTAGAACCAGTAAACACAGTAAAATATTTAATATTTTCGGTTGAAAAATTTAAGCAGTACATCCTAGTAAGTATTTTGGTATATTCGATTATAGATTATAAGTTTCATTCCACGACTGAATTGTTCATATTTTTTCTCAAAGCTCATATTATTATTATTATCAATAATAACTGGACAACATAATCATGGGCAAAGATATGATAAGATAAGATGTTTATTGCATCAAAACGTCCATTATGGACAGCATGCATACATATACACTTAGACATAGTCATATACATTTAATAATACATAGTACATAGACTAGACAATACATTCATATAAACAGTATGCTGCATGTATATCTAGGGGTTTCAGTTGCATGTTGTTGCCACCAAATTTGATTTAGCTCTCTTATCAAAAGCCAAATATGTATACCCATTCGGAAATACGCTCTCTGGCTTTTTCGCATGTTTTGTTAAATATTCATGACGTTTTCTTTTTCTGTTAGGATCATACCAACAAAACATTCAAGATGAACGGATTTATCGTAGCTGTTTTTGCAGCCATTGTTCTTGCCACTGCTCAAGCTCAGCAAAGTAAGTATATGCGTCTTCTTAGGACTTATATTTTATGAGTAAAACCCTAACGGAGTGGGTTAGCACGTGCGCGCTGTATCATAAAGCCTGTCATTGAGTCAACTGGCGTGGTTTCGAATCCCCGGCTGTACGTGACAAGGAGTAGGGTCGCCTGTCCAAACTCGTCGGTTTTCTCCGGGTCCTCCGGTTTCCTCCCACTGCTGAAGACCCCTACGCGCAAGCAAATTATTGAAATGTTAGTCCCGAAATGACCTAGTTTGTGTCGAGTGGACGTTAAACTCTCTCTCTCTCTCTCTCTCTCTCTCTCTCTCTCTCTCTAACGGAGTGACACTCGTGGAGCTGGCAACTTTGGTCTACTGCATTTAACTGAAAAAAAAAAAACCAATTGCTTTTTTTCTGGACAGTAGAACACAAGACGTCCGATACAATTTCATGTTCTCATAAAAAATGAAATTATGGATTACCTTTATAATTTTTGGCGTGCCGCTATTCATTCCGAGATAACTCTTTTTTTCAAGCATGTTCATGTAAAAAGACAAGAAAACGCTGAAAGGCTTGGGTCGAAAAATAGTCAAACTGACAAAGAAAAAAAACATCTCTAGAAATCTATAACGTCCTTCTGTTCTGCTCTGACTGGGCTAATGAAGACGTGGATCCGTGGTCGAGCGCAGTGATGTATATATATGGGGTAGGGCTTGGTGTTGTATTGGGCCAGGTAATTTGTTTGTTTCATACTTTAACTCCAGTGAAAATTTTATTTTCAGTGCCAGGAATGGGAGGATTCTTGCCGGGAGCTGGAATTGGAGGTCTTTTACAAGGACTAGGCGGAATGGGCGGCATGGGCGGCATGGGTGGTATGGGGGGTATGGGAGGAGGTTTGGGTAGCATGGGTGGTATGGGTGGTATGAGCCGTATGGGAGGTATGGGAGGTATGGGCGGTATGGGCGCCATGGCTCTACTCGGCGGTGGTGACATTAACCCAATGATGATACCATTTCTTACTGGCATGGGGGGTGGCATGGGTGGTGGCATGGGTGGTATGATGAGTAATCCCTTTCTTTTAATGTCTCTGATGAATTAAAATCACATTAATGTTGTCAGAAGAATAAATCGTTTTGTTCAGGCCCGTTCGCAAATATCTAGGCCTATAACATATTCTAAAGTACCTGTAGAGAACTAACAACATTTTAACAGACTGTACATGTATATTTATGTAAATCAATAAAACATATTCATATTTGTGTGTTTTATTGTGATATTATTTGTCATTGTAACTAGTGAATGGATAAAAATGAAATGAAATGGGGTTTAACATCCTACTTTTCTGCAGCAACTGGGCCATTGAAGACGGACCTACGCTAAACAGTGTGCTAAGAGGGAAATGTTTCCCGGACAGTGGCGCTAGGCCTACTCTTATTTAGAATTCCAACTGCTACGGGTTCTTTTACGTGCAAGTACATTTATACACGCTTTTTCGTCCCATCCTAACGACTAAGGGGGTCGGGGGGGGACGCCGGAAAACCCCAATGAACATTCTCGGTCAGTGCAGAGAATAAATGAATGAATCCGCATATGACGGAAATTTTATCCCGCCGACAGCAATTAAATTCCAGTTGCTATGGTTTATTTTACGTGCGGGGGGTTGGGCGGCCGAACGGTTAGCGCGTGTGCGTTGTATCACAGGGTCTGTCATTGAGTGGTTGTGCGTAACAAGGAGTAGGGTCGCCTGTCCAACCTCGTGAGTTTTCTCCGGGTTCTCTGGTTTCCTCTCACTTCTAAAGACCCCAAGGCGCTAATGAAATATTGAAATAAAACTGAACCATATGTTAGTCCCGAAATGACCTAGTTTGTGATGAGTTTACTTTAAACCCCATTTCTCCCTCTCTATTTTACGTACTCGCCAACGTGTATCTGGGAGTACGATTTTTCGTCCCATTTGAACGACTAGACGCTTTCTGCACCACTCACAAGGGGGAAGCCGCGCTTGAAAATCCCGGGAAACTTTCTCGGCCAACACACGGATCGATTCCCGGACCTTCTGATTAGTGAGCCAGTGCCCCACCGTAACTCTACCCCATTATAAATCTCACATCTTTAGATATTGCTTCATGATAAATATAAGAGGGGGGGGGGGCAGAATTGGTGTGTTTCAGGGTGGGTGGACTGAGCCAAATAAGAGCCGCCTTGTCACAAAAGGCGATTTACAAATATTGTCATGGAATCTGAAATTACTCGACAGTGAACCAGTTTTAGACTTCTGGTAAACCATAGTCTAGAAAAAAATGGTGGATGGCTTCTAAATTCGCTTGAAGTTAATGAGTTTTTGTTGACAACCTCCGCCCCCCCCCTCCCTCCCCAGTAACAAACCCCTAACCTCCAAGGCCGTAACTAGCTCAGAGCAACGGGGGTGGGGGTGGGGGTTCGAGTGTGCTGAATGTATATCTATTTTTTTATGGTCGACAATTTTTTCACAGGGGGGGCGAAACTTTTTCCTGGGGGGTGGGGGTGGCTTTCAACCCCTGCGCCCCCCCCCCCCCCAGTTACGGGCCTGCTACCCCCCCACCCCAATATGTTATGTTTAGAAGTATATAAACGGTGACATAATTAACATTCTATTGGATATTTCCCCCGACGACCAAAAGTTGCAACAGCTTGCGCATAACTTTACTGCCTGTTTTGAATTGACCCACGGATCAATAAGCTATGAAAGGGTATATATTTATAATTGCGTGTATAATCTATCATAATCAGTGTTGCATAAATTTGGTGGTTTGGATGTGTTTTCAGTTCGTCGGGGGTTTTCATTATTTGTTTTCTCAATAAGGCTGTCGCCAACACGGACAACACCCCCCAACCCCACCCCCCTACATTCTACTTTTCGTGTCATTCACCGACCACCCGACAAAACTCAGCAACCGATTCTCCTTTTCCATTTTCCAAAGGCCTATTTATTTCACTGGCAGAGTGTGTGTATCGCTCCTTGAGTTTATCGTGTGAGCAGTAATAAGATTTGTGCTGAAAAACTAAAATGGTGCCAGGACTGTCAAGCATCTTGGTATCTTGGGCAATATTAACAATTTATTTTTTAATGCGGTATTCAGACTTGGAGCCCTTACACCCCTTCCCCAACCCCTTTAACTACGCTACTGCTTCGCTGACAGTAATATCATTATTGCTCATTATTGCTCGGGGTTTATTTATCATACTAGTAAATAATCTTATAATCCCTCGTGTCAAGGAGAAACAAAGATAAGCTCGTTGTTTGACAGTCGATAAAGTAAAAGTAGCGCTATATCGGCTTACACGTGCTCGTCACGTGACCAATTCTACACCCAGCATCGCGTTGTCTGTGAGGAATGGTAATCCAAGGATACTCAGATAGCCCTACCTTATGGTTTATTTTTGGCACACGGTGTAGGATAGGTATTGCATGTTACCAGTGAGTAAGCTGGGAGCACCGGCATTTGCATCAGTGCTATAGGGGTATCGATTTACCGTATGAGACTAATAGCTCCATCTCTACTATATAACGAAGGTCGGGCGGCTGTTCGGCTTGTGATTGTCTAAGAATAAAACACGAAGATTCTTTCGATAACGACGATATTCCAGCACTGTAACTAGTGAAATGTTTAGTCAATATATGGATTAGGGAATTCCGTTGATTTTTCGACGATTCTTTCACCATACGCTGAATGAACTGGAAATATTGTTAGGCCTATAGAGACTAGGGCTACCTTTTCTCTACTGCTAAATCGGCAAGATGGCGGACCCTGCCGAGGGCGGAGGGTCAGAACAAGATGGTGTATCTTTTCTTAGAACGGTAAGTAAATCTTAATCGCTGATGATGTATTTTGATAGTATAATGATTACTCTTTGCTAATATATAAAAATTGTTTTCGAGAATTCATTAGATGAATAGTGGTGTTGTGTGGAAAGCAGGTAAATCTCCGCCAGTTTACATGCGTATTTAGGTAAATGAAAAATGGCGATTCCTGGCATTTACGTCTGCTATAAGCTCATCTGTATACAATCCGAATACAGTATTCTTAAAGATGTTTTGTTTTAGTTATAAATCCTGTATACTAGCCCTGTTAATAACCATCAAAAAGGTTCAGTGTTAAGCCATTAGCAAGTGTGATAGCCTTTATAGTAAGGTTAATGAACCAAGTTCAGTCTCCGGTAATTAAGTTTAGGATCAGGCCTATACATAATTTAAAGAGCACTGATATACCAGTATTTATCAGTGACAATCAATACACACAAGCGTGAAAATATTAGACACCTATCACAGACATTGTCAGGCATAATTTCGCTAGTGCCTGTCACTTTTTCCCAGTATTTTTATTTGTTGACATTTATAATTGAAATAGATGGCCAACAAAAATGTCTGGTACTAGTTCAGTAGTGCCAGACATTTTGTCTGATACAATTAAAAGTCATTAATGTCTGGCCTGAATACAAGGTAGAAGAAGGGTGTTGAACAAAACATAGAAATAAACTGTACATGTATATTTACAATATATATTCATCAACTTGCCTAATGAACACCACCCTCCAACCATCCCAAACCCCTAAAAAATGATCATCACCCTCCCAAAAGATGAACCTCACCCTCAAATCCACCCCAACCCCTCGGAAATGAGCCCCACCCTCAAACCCACCCTCAAACCCACCCCAATCCCTCCCTCACCCTAAAAAATAAACCCCATCCTCAAACCCACCCTAACCCCTCACAAATGATCATCACCCTCAAACCCTCACAAATCAACACCACTCTCATAAATCAACACCACCCTCAAGGCCACCCAAAGGTAATATATTAATACAACCTATAAATGATTTTGGATAAAAGACAATTACATATACATGTATTAAAACAACACCATTATCATTTATTTGATATTAAATGGCAATGCAAATAAAAACATAATGACAGGCAATATTGAATATATGAATAAATTAATTAACAGACTTATTGAATATAAATTAACAGACTTATTAAATACAAATTAGCAGACTTATTGAATATGAATTAACAGACTTATTGTATATGAATTAACAGACTTATTGAATATGAATTAGCAGACTTATTGAATATAAATTAACAGACTTATTGAATATAAATTAACAGGGTTATTAAAGGGGGAGAGTACATGTATGTTTCCATTTTTTCCTGATCACATGGCTATCATGTGGTTCCTTTGACCTTATAGTTTGGTGACAGCGAGGTCAGTTGCATAAGATCGTAGTCGACATAAGCCCTCTATGTCTAGTTGCAAGTAGTTGGCTGTCTAATCATCCCATGCACCTGGCACATGTGCCGCAGGTTAGCCAATGCCATCCCTGATGTCCATATACAATTAGCTCCATTAAAATTAGTACATTAAAAATTGAGAATTTTGAGAATATATATTCTGCTTTCATTAAATAAAATTAAAAAGTTTGAATTAGCTAAGTCTCTAACTCAATATCATCAAAAATCTTCGACATTGAAAATACGAATTATTTGTCAATTCAAATCAACATTGGTCTTGTGATCTTACAGGGAACAGATGGGCTTCTGATATCCAATATTCAAGACAAAATAAACATTTTACCATTGGTACACGAATCGTGTACAATAATGCGTTTCAGCGCCATTTGGAACAAGGGACTCAAAGAACAGGGCTAGACATATTCCACAAGTCATGTCAAATGGTGACGCTATATTCTTATCTGGAGAGCATGCGCAATAAATACCATCGGTGTAGACTGGAAAAACCAGACGCTAAAGATTGCCATTTGATTAAGACTTCTGGTGTATTTCGCCGAACATAACTGATTAGAAATTACAGTAAAAACAGAAAAGATTGAATGTAAATTAGTTTATATACATTCATATTACATTATTATATGCGTTGCGATCCATTTTTGTCAATTTCTAGGTTCCAAATATATGCGATTGTGCTCCTTTAAATTAGTCTTTTGATGAATAACAGATGTAAACCGAAGAGCAACCGCATTATAAAACAGTTTATCACCCAATAATACATTCTACAGTAGATATCGCTTGTGTGATATATTTCATAATCTACTGCGATATCTCCTTTTATTTTCAAATAACAGTTCATTTCTTATAAAAAGTAACTTTTTTTTTTTAAAAAATGAACTATTGTTATTCAATTGACCTTGATGGAAACACTGGGCCAATATAAAGGACTTTGCAATGGTTGAATTGCTGTCAAAAAATGATGTATCACTACGCCGTAATGTTCAGTAAAAGTGAAATCTATAGCAAAGAATTATATTTATCTATTTGTGCATGTAAGAAGGGTTTGGGTGATAAATAGAATCTCCTACTCGTCTTTTTTGATATCAAAATATATCAACACTCGTTGATAAAGTAAAAAAAACTCGGCAGAGCCTCGTTTTTTGTTACTTTATCAACTTGTGTTGATATATTTTGATATCAAAAAAGACTGGTAGGAGATTCTCTATATATTAATTGTTTGATATGGTGGCCATTTAGAGCAGAGATCTATTCTCGAAGTAGAGTAGTTAGTTCTCTGTGTGCAGACTATGTCTTGTGTCATGATAATGGCCCATACATGGCATAATAAAAAATACTGATAAAGAATACTGATGTTCATAATAATAATGATAAAGATAATAAAAACGCTGATAATTTCCTTATTTTATAAGGGATAAATATGAGATCATACCCTGTCAGCAACATGATCTATGTTTTAACTCTTAACCCACATGAAACATGTCCCTATGATCTATAGTTGATCTTTTCATCCCCATTAGTATCTTGGCAACATTCTCCAATGACATGTACTGTATAATTCGAAACTATCTTCTTTTCTGTTAAAGATACATTAGTTAAGAGTTTTATAAAGAGTTGGCCATTCTTGCTATAATAATTCAAATATATATGATAAAGAAAGAAAATGTTGAAAATTTTAGTCAAATTACTTTGTTCTGAACGGAATTGTCACTGTTGGAAGTTTGGACTAGAAATAGGCATCAATTGTGTCTGCACTGTCTAGGAGAATTTGCGACCGTTTGATTGACAGATGATAACTCCACCCACATACATGTATTCTCAATTATCAGGTAATATGCTCAATGGCTATGGTAGCCTTGCTTGGCAGGCCTTTCATTACCAGTTTCCGGTAGTGACATCAGCGACTAACGGCAAACGTTAGCTTGGTCCGCCATTTATTTATTTAATTTTAAATGGACGACTGTTTAAATCCAAAATGTTTCCAAGCCATCTGTGGGTCTACAGAGTTGATTTTGAGCTTGTTGTGTAAATAAAGGTCTAATTAATAATTTCTATAACATCTGAAGCCTAAATAAAGACTTGCGACAAGACGAACTGGGGGAGTTACATCTAACTCTTTAGATCAGTAAGGTCTGTCATTGATTGGTTAGCACATGCTTGTTGTATCATAAGGTCTGTCATTGAGTCAACTGGCATGGTTTCGATTCCCCAGTTACTGGCGTGGTTTCAATTCCCTGGTTGTACGTGACAAGGAGTAAGGTCGCCTGTCCAACCTCGTTGGTTTTCTCTGGACCCTCCGGTTTCCTCCCACTGTTAAAAATAAAACATTGGACCATATATTAGTCCCGAAATGACCCAGTTTGTTCGGAGGGGACATTACAGCGATTTGTAGGCTACCATATGTTAGTCCAGAAATGACCTAGTTTGTGTGTTTTGTTGAGGCAGTGTTTGCCTCTACAGATAAAGTCTGGTTAGTTTTATTCTTGTGGTAAGCTATGACAGCAGACCTGATACTTGGCAGATGCCTTGAAACTTAAACTAAAATATTTTAAGAATCGGGATTTTTCATTAGTTAAGAACTCAAATTTGTGTCTTGGTTTTTTGTAGCAAGCCAGTATATTCTTAAAATATTTTATTTTAAAGGAGGCAAGTCTAACTCAATATCATCCACAATCTTCGACATTGCAAACACAACATATTGGTCAATTTATATGAACATACCCCACAGGAGAATACTACTGGTGTAGGCTTGAATAACCAGACACCAAAGACTGCCATTCAATTTGGACTCTCAAATATTTCGCCGGAAATAAATGATTAGAAATTACAGTAAAAACAGAATCGATTGAATGTAAATCAATTTATATTCATTCATATTACCTACATGTAAGTATTATATGTGTTGCAACACATTTGTGTCCATTTCTAGGTGCCAAAGAATAGAGATTTAGCTCCTTTAAGTTTTCTTTGAATAAGGGTAAGACCCCTGAACTTTCAATGTAGTGTTGTCTTGTTAATGTTTAATTATACAGTTTCCTTCTTTTTCTTCACAGAAAATAATCTAATATTATATTGTAATCTTATATTTCCTGTTACTCTCTATAGTTTTTGCTGGAAAGATTCTGCAACCATAATCTAATTGTATTTTAGACTTCCTCTTCCTTTCAGTTAAAAAACAGATAACGTAAATAGAATATGCTGAAAATTTCTGTCAAATTGCTCCACTCTGAACCGAGATATTAGCGATTGAGTTATAAGCCCAATCTCGATCATCATTACTAAAGTCGGTACGATAATAAACAAAGTCTTGAGAATGTGTAAAATAATAGCATTTATGAACATGTGTAACATAATAGCATTATGAAACTGTAATAAATGAATATATTTTGGTCAATTGTTGTACCAAAATATCATCCAAATATTCAGTAGCTTTGTCTTCACTGAGATATTGTTACTGAAATCATAAATGGTTCTGTCTTTTAATCAAAACAGATGTTCTTTAACCTTTGACCCTATAGTTGCCATGCTGCCTTGACCTTGAGGTCACCATG